AAAGGGAAGATTATCATCTCAAAAGAACACATATCCCCTTTACTGTGACATTTTTCATAAGTTGACAACTGTATTGCATGAGTTACACTAAGAATTTAACATTGGTTAATTACTTAAAAAGAAAATATTTTGCTTACACTTTCTTAAAAAGATTCCTGTAGGTGATGATCTTCAGCTTTTCAAGAATAAGGAAAATGCCACAACGAATAAAAAAGGTTTCGTGTCTCGTCAGAGCTTCACTCAGCAGTAAGAGATTGCCTTCACTGGGGTTGAGAGAGGGAAAGGACGTACAAGAAGAATTACGGAACATAATCCCAGGAAGAGATATCAGCAAAAAGCAATTATTTCTCACACAAGATGAAAGAAATTTGTGTTAATTTTATATTTAAAAAAAATCCCGTATGATAAAGATAAAATACTCTACCTTACAGCTTTGGTTACTTCAGCAAACTGCATAAGATGATACTTTTTCAGAAGTTCAATAGTTGGCATATGACCCTAAGACAGAAAGTTAATTTTCCAAAATAAAAACGTTTACATTTTCAACAGAATTTTTTTGATAAAATTCTTATCAAAGAATTAAGTGTAAGATACAATGCAACTTGTGTTTTCTTAGAAATTCTTCTCAAGTAGCTGAACAAGGATTAAAAACACCACAGTACCCCGAAAAGGGCGCTGGTCAGAAATCAGAGAACCCACACAGAGTCCAACTTTGTCACTAAAACGCACGTGACCTTGACCGTATTCTCTCTGGGCCTCACACCTCCTACCGTTTATATAATAGAAGGGGAGTGATAACTGAAGAGATCCAGTATAACCATAAGATTTAGGAATATGGAAATATTTTAAGAAGAATCAGTTAAAACACTTAAAACTAGTTGTTTCTATGAAATAGAATTATAAGTGGGGAGGGACAGAAATAGTGTTGCTGCTTTTCCATTATAAGCTATTCTGAATTATTTTTTAACCGTATTTATATATTCCTTTGATAGTTTTTTTTTTTTTTTTTTTAAATTTTAATGGGAGAAAAGAAAGCACTGTCTCTCACTTTCAGAATGTTTTACTCAATTAACTTACAAGTTACTTGGCATTTCTTTTCAAATATCAAAAATGATTTTTACTGACTAAATACCCACAGATAGGCTGAAACACTCTCCTTTCTTGGTTACGTAATCCATTTCTATTAACGTTAACCATTTTAGATTTTTAGGGGAAATGAAAATAATATTCATTTATTTTATCTGTCACATATTAAGCTTCTGAGTTAGTACTTTTGAGAAAAAGAAAACAGAGGCAAAGCCTTTCTAAAAGGAACTAAAAATATGAACCAAGGAGAGACATAGGTCAGATCACATACCAACGCTTCTCTGCTCTCTATTTTGGGGCTGTGCTCACACACAGTTCAGACTGTGATCAAGTAGACACCAGCTGCTATATTTTTAAAAGTTTACCGACTTCTTTAAAGCAACATGATCGATAAAAGCTGAGCAACAATCACTTACCAACAGCATTTTTACTGGAAGCAAATATATCAGAATCATTCGTTTGTTCTTCTGACTTGAGCGGTGGCAATGCTCAAAGGCAAATGACAGATACTCCTCAGCTGCAGAAAGATAGTCCAGTGTCCTCATCAAAAGCTACACCAAAAGCATCTAAATATTCTTCAATACTCTCTATAATGGTAAATTACTACATTTCCTTCCTGCTCTTTATTCTATCATCCTATCCTTCCTTCTTGTTCCTTATTCTTGCATTTTATCCTTATATAAAAGGAAAAAGCTGCTTCCTTTATCATTACAAAAAACAGCAGCCCAGCTTGATTTCAGTGATCCGTGATTTTTCTTAAGTAAAATCTATAGGACCAGGTTCAAACACAACTTCCAGGAAAGTCCTATTTAACAGAGGCAAAAACCTGAAGAAACTAACTTTCACTGAAATTGTGATTTGCCGAACATCATCTGGCAAGTCATCATGACAGCATTTTACAACTTTAATATGTATACACATAAGTAGCATATACTCTGAGGTCAAAAGGCAGAAAAAAAATAACTCCTTATAGTCAATTCAAATAGTCATACACTTAATTACTTCACAAAAAAAGGAAAAAAGGATATCCATGATAGACTGTAACACTCTAACATGTATCCCAGAAACCTAGTACGGATTACATTAAAAAAAAAAAACCTGTTATTGACGCATCAATTCCGACTCATAGTGACCCTAAAGGACAGAGTAGAACTGCCCCACAGGATTTCCAAGGAGCGGCTGGTAGACTCAAACTGCTGACCTTTTGGTTAGCAGCCAAACAATCACCAGCGCCCCAGTATGGATTAAGAACCTTCAAATACAACTTTTATTTATTTAATCAACTTTAGTGTCCAAAAAAAAAAAAAAAGAATATAACATGGTTTACACAAATATTCCACTCTAAGTAATAAGAAAATACAGTAATTGTGTTCTCTGAAACTCCCACTTAACTGCTCAAAATGCAATGTCTTATTTAAAATACTGGAAAAAAAGATTAGTAACATACCTTGCTTAAAGTCACTATCAAACATAGCTTTGCGTCCAACATAGTATTTGTATGTAACTCTCTGTGCAGTGGTATAATCATCTTTCAGATTTGAGCTGTCAATTGCTCTAATTAGAGGTTTACACAAATGGAGTTTATTGATCTATAACGAATAACAATCCATTTAAAATATTTGTTAAGAGGTAGACAGTAAATATAAATGTCTACTTTACTAAGCACGTGCCGCCTTAAAATGGGAATTATAAACCGTTTCATGCATCAAAATTAATTATTCAATAATAAAAACTAAGATAAAAAACTACACGGCACATGTCACATTCACTTTGGAAGGCCCTAAGAAGCACTTCAAAGCCAGTCATCCTCCAGGCAGCTGAATCTGATGTTCAATGACGAGCCTGTGTGACTGTGTCTGCAAAGACACGCCGTATGTATTAAAGCAACGGGACACAGAAAACACATCAAATACGTGACATGAATTTAACTCCAAAAACAGATCATCCAAATTCCAGCTGCTGACTTGTGATGGAGCTGCTCTTCATCTGGTCAGCTTTACGTAGCAAAGAATGATTTATTTATCCAGCTATCCATCCACCTACTTTTAAATAGTTAATTATTATAACAGAAGGTAGAAGGGTCTGGAGCGAAGCCACCTGCATTTAAAGCCCAGTTCCACCCAGCTGAGCCAGTTACTTCACATACTGCTGCCTGAGTTTGCCCTAGAGATGACAACGACATCTACCTCACGGACACTGAAATACAGTAAAACACGTAAGGCATTCAGAACAGTGCCTGGTCCTCAGTAGGCACTCAGCACACGGTAACTGTTAGGATTATGAATAAATTATGATCCTTTCCTAAGCAACGCCAGGGAGGCTAGCTAATAATTAAAGAGAAATAACATGATCCCTGGGAATAGCGGGAGAAAGACAATTTATAAAGATACGTATTATAAAATACCCAACCAGAAGCATACCTTGAAGTAAATTTTAAATAGCTGATTCACCAGAAACAGCATCCCCCACTTCTTGGAATCCTCTAAACCAGCCCGACTGCAGAAAAACAATTTTTAAAAAGTTACAAGGGAAACAAAAATTTTATTTATAAATTACAAAATAAACTTGCTAAACAAATTAGTATCTTGAGATAAAAACCCCACAGCTCAAGTCAAATAAAATTATAAAAGAAGATGTCTTATCTAATAGGTAAAACTGAAAAGAGAGCAAACCAGACATTCTAATCCCAGTTAAATATTTGGGTAATATATTTCTCCCGCTGCACCAGTTTCTTGATCTGAAAACTGCTTAGTCTGCAGCAATATTACATAAAAGCTAATTGTTACAAAACATTTTTTTAAACAATGTTTTTACTCTTATCATTAAAACAAAATGAATTACTGAAATATGCAACAACATGGATGAATCTCAAAGAAAACAAAACATAAAAGTTCCAGAACAGGCAAAATTAATCTACAGTGGAAACAAATCAGACCAGTGGCTGCCTCTGGGTGAGGACGAGGGACTGCCTGTGAAGGGGAATGAGGGAAATGTCAGGGGCGACAGAACTCTTGAGAGAGGTGTGGGTTATACAGCGGTATGCTTTTGTCAAATCTTAGCAAACACAGTTAAGATTTGTGATTCATTATATGTAATTTTACCTCAAAAGTCAAAAGAGAACTCAAGTTTTAATTTAAGGAAAAGTTTACTGATGCATGCTGCACTGTTTAGGGGAAAGTGTACCAATGTCTGTAATTGACTTTGAAATGCATAAAAAATAAGATAAATTGATGGATGGCTAGAAGGGAAAGATGCATGAATAGACATGATAAAGCAAGTAGAAAAGTCATTAATGGTGAAGCGCTGCATATATAGGTATTCATTGTAAAATTCTTCCATCTTTGCTGAATGTTTGAAAATTTTCATAATAAAATGTTGAACAAAAATTCAGGGTTGAGTCTGCCGTGTATTTTTATTCTGCAAATGGGTCTTCTTCAACAAAGCTCACAGACTTTCACAGAAGTCAGTGCCAGAAAAAGAGAATGCCCAATGGCAGGTTGCCTGGAAACACTAAGTCTGAGAGCATGAAGGCAATGCACATAAAAATAAAAGCGTCCAATATGGAAAACAAGCCATGGAAAAATAAATTACTCCTCAAGACCAAAATGTGCCATACAGAAACATTTAGAACAACATAAGAATATTATTCAGTTTTAAAATATAAATGTTTATTTTAGGATAATTGTTCAGTTAACTGCTATAACCAGCTCTTTTACGTGAGTATTGTCACTAACTAGCTGTATGATCAAGCAAGACACTTTCTCTCTAGGATTCATTTTCCTCATCTGTAAAGTGGAGACATATAATAATAATGTCCTTACCTTGAAGGGTAAAAAAAAAAAGAAAAGAAACACATAGGCAAGTACTCTGTAATTTATATTAAACGTCCCATTATATTTATGATCGTATCCTTGCCACTGTGGCACCAGGAGCAATGATCTCTTTTGGAGAAATGTGACAAAGGTAGTAACCCCCAAGGGGAAAGGTCTGTCACTTCTAAGATAATGGAGTCTCATGAAGAAGACAGTCTTCAGGCAGCTTAGTAGGCTGGCTGAAATCTTAATTGGCTAAACTAAAAAGTAGTATAGGCTTAGATTTTCTGGTATCAGAGAAAAATAGCAGACATTGCCTAGTTTCAGAATGGCAAAAGATCAAAAAACACACGGAATCATCAGAATGTTGGTGAAAAAACCGACTTGCTCTATGATAAAATTTATAATTTCCAATTTCAGCTGGGCCCCAATGAACTACCCCAAATACTTTAGATTGTCCCTAACAGGATTCTTTGCCTATTTCCTAGGTCAGTCATTCCAATCTATCATTTATCAAAAAATCCAAAATCAAATCTGTTGCTGCTGAGTTGATTCCAACTCACAGTGGCCCTACAGGACAGAGTAGAACAGCCCCATAGGGTTTCTGAGGAGTGGCTGGTGGATTCGAACTGCCGAACTTTTGGTTAGCAGCCAAGCTCTTAACCACTGCACCGTATCATTTATCATTCCCTCAATTTCCTATGGGAAATACGTTCCCTCTTCAAGCAACAATTAACCTGTCAATCTCTTCCTGAATTCCCCACTTCGTTTTCCTGATGCTAGAACAGTAATTCCTACTGAAACTTCTCTTTTTCTACTACTTTGTGTCTTTTCCCAGTTACCTTTTGTCTGATAAATGTTGTTCCTCCAAATGTCTAACTTTTCTTTATTGAGTTATATAATTCACATACCATGAAACTCACCCTTTTAAGTGTACCAGTCAGTGGTTTTTCAGTCATTCACAAATCTGTGCAAGCATCACCCGTAATTCCAGAATACGTCATCACTGTAAAAATGACCCCGTATCCATTAGCAGTTACCACCCTCCTCCCGTTAGCCCCTGGCAACCAGTAATCTACTTTCTGCCTCTGTAAAACCCAAACCCATTGCCACTGAGTTGATTACAACTCATGGCAACCCTACAGGATACAGCAGAACTGCCCCATAGAGTTTCCAAAGCTGTTCCCGCAGAGAGGCTGGTGGGTTCGAACCGTCAACCTTTCGGTTAGCAGCCTAGTGCTTAACCACTCTGCCACTAGGGCCCCTGTTTCAGTCTCTACAGATTTGCCTATTCCGGATATTTCACATAAATGGAATCATGCAATAAGTGGCCTTTTGGCTTCTTTCATTTAGCTTGTTTTCAAGGTTCATCAATGTTGTAACAGAAACCCTGGTGGTGTAGTGGTTAAGAGCTATGGCTGCTAACCAAAAGGCTGGCAATTCAAATCCACCAAGTGCTCCGTTCTACTCTGTCCTATAGGGTCACTATGAGTCGTAATCGACTCGACAGCAATGGGTTTTCGGTTTTATGTTGTAGCATGTATCATTCTTTTTGTGGCTGAATATACTTCATTGTATGGGTGTAACACATTCTGTTTATACATTCATCAGCTGATGAACATTTGGATTATTTCCACAAAAACCACAAAATCTAGACAAGCAAAAATCTTTCCCTTTGTCATGTGGCAGTCCGAGGACCTAAAACTGCCCAGGTATAGGTCTACCCTCTGCCGTCTCCCCCCAGTGACTCAGGGTCCGACTGCCAGCACTGGGAGCCTGGGTCACTTAGGTTCTCAGACTCTGGTGCCTGAGCAGCAGCAGAAGCAGCAGCACCTGCTAACATGTTAGAGATACAACTTCTCAGGCTGCTCCAGACCTAAAAAATCAGAAATTCTGGGGGTGGGCCCAGCAATCTGTGTTTTATCAAGCCCTCCAGGTAAGTCTGCTGCTCACGAAAGTCCGAGAACCAATGATTTAGACAAGGGGTTGGCAAACTACAAACCACAAGCCGAATCTGGCCTCCCACCTGTGTTTGAACAACTAGTGAACGAATAATGATTTTTTTTTTGTTTTTAAACGGTTGAAAAATCATCAAAAGAAGAATACTTTTTCATTAAACGTGAAAATTACATGAAATTCAAATTTCAGTGTTCAGTAACATTGAACAGTGTTTTATAGGAACACAGCCACACTCATTTGTTCATGCATTGTCCATGGCTCCTTCCACACTACCACGGCAGAGCAGAGTACGGCCCACAAAGCCTACAATACCTGGTCTTTTACATAAGAAGTCTGCTGGCCCCTGATCTAGAGGACAAAGAGTGCTGAAAAATGAGAAGCTGGAATACTTCCTAACAGTAGTTTTCGTTTGTTTGTTTACATGGAGAGCCTTGTGTTATCTTTCTTTGCTTTATAATTTCCTAAAATGCACAATCAAATCGATGCGTGTTATATAATGGGGGAAGACACGGGGTTTCAGGAGAAAAATGGAAACTGTAAAGTAGAATCAAATGGAAAGTATAGAATTTAAAAAATAATTTTTAATTTCTAAAATAGAAAAACATAATGGCAGAAAAAATCAGTCAACTTGAAGGCAGGTCAAGACAAATCACCCAAAATGAAGGAAACAGAAAAAAATGATTAAAAATAAATAATAATTACTGAAAGTAAAAAATAAAGAGAAAACAACAGCCAGAGGAAAAAACACCTGTTACATACTGGGAACAATGATAAGAATGACAACTGACTTCTCATCAGAAACAAAGGAAACCAGATGGAATGATGTTTTTCAAGCGCTAAAAGAAAAAAACCTGTCAATTTGCTAGAATCCTCTACCCAGCAAAATAATTTTTCAAAAATGAAGAAAAAATAGACATTTTCAGAAAAATGAACGCTTAGAGAGTTCATTGTAAGTAGACCTGCACTTAAAAAAATGCTAAAGGAAGTTCTTCAGGATAAAGAAAAATGACACCCAATGGAAACACAGACCCACAGGAAGGAAGAGCTCTAGAAATGGTAAATACATTGGTAAATATAAAAGACTACTTACAAAACAACTGACTACTTAAAGCAAAAATAACAGCAATGACTGTGGGATTTATAATACATGCAGAAGTAAAATACATGACAAAAACAGACACGGACAGGAAGAGGCAAACACCGTTGGCAGTACAAGATGGACAGGATCTTAGTCGTCAGCACCCTTACTTACGTGTCACTGGCACAGACACGAAAACAGCTCATCAGTAATTCCGCTGCTTTTTCCAACATGTCCCCAACTTTGCTTTTGCCTTTCTTTACCAACTGTTGATCCGCCTAGTAGAATATAAAAGCGCTTATTTCGTATTTTCTCTAGATTCCTTAAATAAAAAAGAAAATCACAGTGCAGCTAAGAGCAAACATGGCTACCATGAAGAGTCAAAGGCCCAGAAGACTCTGGAGATCATCTAGTCTACACTACAAATCAAATCTCCCTTCAATCAATTCAAGCTAATAAATTACTCACTGTTTTTTAAACCTATATTGTATATTGCATTACGCTACTAGAGAGTTTTTTCTTAACTAAGTCACTAAACTTCACATCTCCTATGAATAGCTAGTCATAACCCTGGAAACAAAAACTTCTGCTACATATCAAAGTCAATACTAAGTTGGACTATTCCTTGTTTTTAGGAGGATAGTCTTAAAGAAGAAAGAACCTCTGTTTTCTCCCACTCATAGCCTTCATAACAATGGTTCTCAAAGTATGGTCCATGAATACCTGGGGGTCTCCAACATGCTCGCAGAGGATCCACAGAATCCAAGCTATTTTCATAATACTACTAAGCCATTCTTTGTCTTTTTTTACTGTGCTGACATTTACATGGACGGTGAAAAAACAGTGGTAGATGAAACCACTGGAGCCTCACAAGTGGCCCCAACCTGAACCAGCAGTCATCGTATCCTTAATTGCCATGCACTTGCAGTGAATAAGAAAGCTTGTTTCACTTCTAAAATGTCCCTGATGATCTAGTATATATTAATTTTATTAAGTCTTGACCCTTGAGCACATATCTGTAATGAAGTAAGTATGTACAAAGCACTTCTGCTGCATACTGAAGTATGACGGCCGTTTTAAGGAAAAGCACTTGGACAGCTGTTTGAGCTGCAAGTTGAACTAGCTACTTCTCTCATGGAACGAACAACTGACAAACACGGGTATCTGGACTTGGGTATTTGGCAGACTATTTTCTCAAAAACAAATGAAACAAGACTGTCACTTCTAGGCAAACAACTGACAGTATTTGTTGTTAATGGTAACATTTGAGCTTTCAAGCAAAAACGAGGATTTTGGAAAACCCGAACGACCACTTTTAGTTGGCAGCTTCTCCGTGACATCAAAGCCTTTGTGATGAGCTCACTGGGTATGTTAACAAACGGGGGGTTTTTGTTTTGTTTTGTGTTTAACATAATGAACTGTGACAACACTCAGAAGATCTGTATAACTCAATAAACCAGTATTTTCCAAATGACCATAATGCTACAAAATCATACGCGGGCAAAACATCCATCCAAAGTGCAAAAAAGACTGATAGATTTTAATGTAACAGAAAATGCAAAGTTCAGTGACGCGGTTTCAGAGTCCACACTGTAGCTAACCTTTAAAAAACTACCTCTTAAGAGTTTTGGAATTCTGTCTAAGACGAGTATCTAAATTATCTGAAAGGGCTATTAAAATACTCTTCCCTTTTCCAATTACATCTGTGTGAGGCCAGACTGTTATCATATACTTCAATCAAAACAACATATTGCAACAGAGTGAATGCAGAAGCAGACATGAGAATCCAGATGGCTTCTACGGAGCTAGACATTAAAGACATTAAATATAAAATAATGCCACTCCTCATAGTACGTTTTGTTTGTTTTGGAAATAGGTATTTTTTATGTAAAAAGTTATGCTAACAGGTAAAAAGTTTATTGTTGTTATTTTATATGAATGAATAATTTTTAAAATTTTCCCAGTTAAAATCTCTCATAAGATAAATATAAATGAACATAACCCAAATAACAAAAGCCCTCAGGCACACTTAAAACCAAACAAAACCAAACCCACTGCCGTCAAGTCGATTCCAACTCATAGCGACCCTGCAGGATAGAGCAGAACTGCCCATAGGGTTTCCAAGGCTGTAATCTTTATGGGAGCAGACTGCCACATTTTTCTCCCTCGGAGCAGCTGGTGGGTTTGAACTGCCGACGTTTCGGTTAACAGCCAGGCACTTTAACCACCTTGCCACCAGGGCTCCCAGGCATACTTAGTAATTTTTATTTACAGTTATTATATTCTTCACTTCTAAAATTTCCATTTGATTCTTCTTTCTATCTTCTATTTCTTTGCTGAGACTTTCTACGTTCTCATTTATTTCAAGTTGTTCATAATTGCTCACTGAAGCATTTTTTTCACGGCTGCTTTAAAATCCCTGTCAGATGATTCCAAAATCTGTATTATCTCAGTGTAGTGTCTGTTGATTGTTGTTTCTCATTCAAAATCTCAAAAAGTTGAGATTTTCCTGGTTCTTGGCATGAGTAATTTTCAATTCTAGCCTGGACATTCTGGATATGATGTTATGAAACTCTGGATCTATTTTCTTGTTTTCATAGGTCTCCGCTGACCCCATGCTGTGGGGGGCAGGGGGCGGGCATCACTTCTCTTCCTCTGGGTGAGAGTGAAGTCCAGGTGCACACTCAGCCTCGGCTGGCACCACACCAGCAGAGAGGCAAGGGCTTCTTATCACCACCAGGGAACAGTGCAAGTCTAGGCAAGTGACCACCTGGCCTTTGCTGACATGGGGTGAGGGCGGCCTGCAGTTTTTTCTGTGATGTTTGGCTGCAATACAGCAGTTATTTTCAAAAAGACTTCTGTTTTGTTAGGCTGTTCTGCCCCTCTCCTGATCCCTTAGCAAGAGAGAGCAGTTTTCTTCAGGCTTCTTCTGTCTGTACCTGCTGGCGTTTCCAGACTTCAGGCACCCCGTCCAGGATGCACAGATGCAAAGAGGAAACCCAGGGAACTCACAGCGATGTCATTCCTTGAGTCCCGCTCCACCTTCTTCTCCCCGCCTTTCACAACAATGTTTGTTTTACAACTTCCAGGGTTTCTATTGTATTTAGCAGGAGGAATCCAGAGAAATGTGTCTACTCCATCTTGTCTGGAACCAGTCATCAATAATTCTTAAAACTATAAAGGTGTCCTTAGACCAAAAAGCTGAGAAATGATGCTCCGTAACTGGCTTATGCTGCTCCTCAAGGGGAAACTTCTATAAAATCCAGGTTCTTTATCTTATTACACCCTAACCTTTATCGCAAAAACACTTCACTACTGCCCAAATCTACATTAAGCTGAAATTCCTTAAAACAGGGTTGGCCAGGACACAGGTTCAAGTGTGAACGAGAACACAGACTCATTTGTTAATGGCTCACCCTCTTTCTAAGTAACTATATGCTATAAATGGTTAGCCTTATACAAAAAAAGTCCCTCCACATATACAGTGTGAAAACCTGAACAAATGTTTATTTAAATCTGTTCACACCAACACAAAAAGAAATAATTAGGTGAGTTATCCTTTATTTTATTCTTTGCTCTCTGTACCAAATACATCTCAACCCCCACTTATTCCTCAAATTTTTCAAGAGAAAGACATGAAATTACACAACACATGAACAGTTTTAAAATAATAGTGATAGGAAATTAAGCTTACATTATTGGCAAAGATTCGAAGGTCAAGTGCTACTGCATACATGATAGGCAAAGCCCTACGGGACAAAAAGGCAAATATTATTTAAAAAGGTTATGAAGTCAGAGATTTCACCACCAGAGACAGAAATAATAACAAGGCCCAGAGATACTGTGCAGAATGGAGTTCCTTGCCCCCTCCAAAAATCTGACACTGTTTCCTTCCTTACCTTCCGTTCAAGGCAGGCTCAAGCTCCTGGGCCTCTTGTCTAACACAGAGGCCAAACGATGAAGTGCTCCACTCCTGCTCCCCGAATGACCTTCCCAGCAGATCCCTGACTCTCCTCAAAGGCCTACGCCCTGGTCCATCTACAAGTCCTGAACCTGAGACAGTACCTCCTCAAGCTGTTCCGAGGACAGTCTCCTCCCCCTCCACTCCCCACTATTATTCAAGCATCGCCACTAGAAGAAAAACTGGGTTTAATAAGATTTCCTAACAGGAACCAGAGTATGTAATATACAAAATGTCGTAAAACAATTTTTCAATCCAGCCGGCAATACTGGTCTCTCATGTGTAACATAAGTCTCACCTTAAAAGTGGAAAGGTATTATTTTTAGTAAAAAGTATTTATTTCAAGCCTGCCTTTACTTTAGTATAAACAAATTGCAGTATTTACATACAGTTTAATAATAAATCGTTAAGTCATAAAACTAAGAATTAGCTGGGCAAGGAATTTAAAATAACCCAATTATTATACATCACATCAAAAGAATTGTAGTTGTTCTACCGCTTTTACCCAATGTTTGAAACCAAAAGTAAGTTCAAACTAGACAAAGAAGAAAACAGTATTTAATAAATATTTGGGGGAACGGAAGGACTGAGATTAAAAACGATATTTTACATTTATTTTTAAAAAATACCGCAAAAATCTGACTGATCTGCCATCTAAGTTTACACTACTATAATGCTATAATCCACGTTGATATTATCATATGTCAACATATTAATTTAAGTATCCACATAAAAAACAATATATATTTATTTAAAACCAATTTTTAAAAAGCTTGTGCTTAAAGTTACCGTTTGCCAATTTACAGCTGTTTGTGTTCATACTTACCAATTTTCTTCTTTGTGGGCCTGAAATGCTCGCAGGAATGATGTACTATATTAAGATGAATATAACATACAAAATTTTAAAAAATACTATATATGATAAAGAATGAGAAAGCTTTTAAATCTTAAAGGGTACCGATCACCCTTTAGAAAATTAGGTTCAAAATAGTACTAATTTCTTAAACAAACAAAACTATAGGTCTACATTACAAATACCTGACCATCATTATTTATCAGTATACTAAACATATCTGTTTCATATATACTTTCTCCAAACTAAAAAATAAAATGACTTATTGTGATAAGGTTTTTAAAAATCGACAATTTCAAATATTTTATTTGGTTTCTTTGAGTCTAGATAATCACGTCATATGTAATATAAGAGCTTTAGAAGTCTGTAATATAAAGTTTATTTTAATTACAAAATTCTTGAATTCAAAGGAGACTTAGCTATCTAGTAGCCCACTCTCTTCTGTATGTTAAATAAGATAGTTAAAAACGAGCAAACTGAAGTCTAGAGACATGTATAAACACTGAGAACACTCAGTGATTAGAGCCTCAGCTGTATCACTTAAACGATTTGAGTAAGAAATTGGCTTAATTAAGGTCTTTAGTGACCACAATTAAATGACAATGTATATCTGATTCCACTCTTCCCATCTATGCCTAAATTTAGAAATTCAGATATTTCAAAAAACTTAACCAGTCCCTATAACTATACTTAATGCCCTAAAAGCAAAAAAAAATCATTCTTTTCATAGTAAAACCAAATAAAATCCTTAATCATAATCAACAGTCCTCCTTATATTTAAGTAACTAGATGATAGTTTCAAGATACATGCTAAATTTAAGTACGTAAGTAAAACAGCTAAAATGAGTCTCTCTTCCAAAAGGCTGTAATTCCTTTCTAATTACAGGCATGGAAAATTGGTCCAATCTTTCAAAATCTTATACTCCAAATAATGCCCTGCATCTGTTACATATTGAACATCTAAAACAAATTAAAAAAAGATATTGGACAATCACAGTCTGGCATTTGTATGCTTCTATGAAATCATGGTTTCCCACAGCGTAAGTACACCTGTAAAAGAAATGCCAGAGAATTAGGAACGGCTCAGAAAGTATATTCATACGATAAACACCTAGAAGTAAAACTATTTAAGGCACACATCTTACTTCTGTCACATAACTCCCCAGTTCTCCAACGGATCATGGAATGAAAGATGGAATTCCCTATTTGATAGGTAATGAAAGGTTGAAAAGAAGATAAAGAACACACCAATATTTGAACTAAAATGGGTGGTGTAAGATGAAATCCCACATTAAGTTTTGAAACTATTCTTTGAAGTCCCAGAAAAGAAAAACCTAGTCCCAAGAGGTTTCATTAATATATATACTGATAACACAGTATGGCCCTTGTACTATACTAGTGGGCTCACAATGAAGCTTTACCTAGATTCATGGCTAGATAAAGTCAATACTGGTCAGTTTCATCATCAAATCTAGAATACCACCAGACACTGCAGAGTGCTAGAAAATCCCTGGTTCCCGCATTTCTAGGAGTACAGTGGTGCCCTGACCCTTCCAAAGATCTTATCAGGCTTATAGCGCTTCTCTGCTTACGTACCCCATTTACCCTGTTCTGAAACGCTAGCGTTCAGGCAGGTTAATCAAATTTCACACTGCTTTAGTACATAAAGTTTTGCGTGAACTGATGCTTTGGAGATGAGAAAATACAAAACAAAAAGCAGTATTTTGCTTCACTCGGCTCTACTTTATTTCCTAGTAAGACAAAGAGGTTAAAAAAAGACATATTTCCATGAATAAAGGAAGTCAGTGGTTGGGCTCCACCCTGTAAAATAAAAGATGACTTATTACAGAACAGTATGATAAATGTTAACTGATATTTTTATAGTATTACATAAAAGATATATAAAGATACACAATCACAATTCATTTTTAATTTTAAAAACATACATGAAGCTTGGACTTAAAAAAAGTTTACTAAAATTTTAAAGTATTTATAACTTGGCAAAACTGTCACAGGCTTTACCAAAGTGAAACTACAAATGCACCTTCCTACGTTGTCAAAGCACGTTAGTCACTGCTTCAATCATATGATGATGGAACCAATTCAGCAATTCCACCTTGGTTTGTTCTTCTGCCTCACCTTAAATGAGCTGCAAACATTTCATCATAAGGGGGCTCCAGAACTTGCTGACACTTCTCTTCTGGAGAAGGCAACTAATTTATAAGACGAAAAATGACAAAAGTAAAATTAATGCGCATATAGAGAGTTCAAGGTACAGAAACAAATCCAGAGAAACCTCTGTTTCAAAAAAAGTTACACTTCACAGTTAACAGTAACACTTCAAAACTTTAGCACTTCTAAATAAGAGATTCACTACTCCAACAAATACTTATCAAACACTGCTCATGTGTAAGACACTACCGGCCCACGGACAATTTAGTTTTGCCGACCACAAGCAGGTAATATTCTAAGCACGTTCATACATATCCTAATATTTAACAGTCAGTCGGTCAAGAAATGTTTACTAAGCAGCTAGTATGTGCCATGTTATGCATAAATAAAATAACATGAGCTAGGGGAAACACCACTTTAGCAATCAGTCCTTCAAAGCTACCGTCTCAATTTCCTGGTAACAACACCTCCTCTCTTTGTGTCCTAGGCTAGAGTAACTGAAATTTATTTTTTTACTTTTCCTTTCCTCACAATGGCCAAATTTTAGATAATTTGAGAATCACACTGGATTAGCACACACTGAATTTAAAAAAACAAAAATTTGAGTCCATAATGATACAATAATATACACATATATAAACTTGGGAGGGACGAGTAACAACATCAGAAAAATCATCATTCTACATGAAAAATTGATTCGGACAATGCTCATCAATGAATGAAACGCATTAGATGAAAGGTTAATAGGGACTTTTACAATGAAGGGATCTGTCTTAGATTACAAATGGGGCAGACGGTTGGGTGCCTCCTGATGGGACACAATACAAAGCACACGGCGCCACCTATGAAGGATTCTAACCAAATACATAATTCTGGCCAAATATACAGAACCGGAGTCTAATCAAGTCTCTGGCACTAACTCCTATTTAAATCAATGGTTTGCAACCTTGGCTGCATATTAGAATCACCTAGGAAACTAAAAAAGAAGCCTGCTTCCACCACCCCCCTCGCTCCTCCAGATGAATTTAACTGGTCCGAGACAGTGCATGCGCGCGCACACATACGTTGCCATGGAGTCGACTCCAACTAACAGCAACCCTATACGACTGAGTAGAACTGCCCCACAGGGTTTCCAAGGACCGGCTGGTGGATCTGAACTGCCAACCTTTTGGTTAGCGACCGAATGCTTAACCACTGCGCCACCAGGGCTCCAGACACGGCCCAAACCCGTTCCCATCGAGTCAATTCTGACTCATAGCAATCCTATAGGACAGAATAGAACTGCCCCATACGACTTCCACGGAGCGCCTGGTGGATTCAAACTGCCAACCTTTTGGTTAGCAGCTGTAGCTCTTAACCACTATGCCACCAGGGTTTCCAGACACAGCCTATCCACTGCCAAACATAACCATCAATATATAAGCCCCTTTTTCTCCCAAGGGAGCCCTGGTCGCACAGTGGTTAAGTGCTCAGCTGCTAACTGAAAGGTCAGTGGTTCAAACCCACCAGCCTCTCCACAGGAGAAAGATGTGGCAGTCTGCTTCCTTAAAGATTACGGCCTTGAAATCCCTATGGGACAGTTGTATTCTGTCCTACAGGGTCACTATGAATTGAAACCAACTCAACAGCACCGAGTTTTGGTTTTCTCCCAAAATAAAAATTTTGCACACCAATAAGAACAAACTTCAGTATTATACTGAGAATCAATAAGGGAACAGGACTTTATAAAATTTCAACAATATTTTCTACAGAAAATGTTGTTTGGATATCATCTATCCTCTAAAGCCAGGATACTACATTTTAGAGCAG